GGCCAGGAGCCCCTAGTAGCGTCCTTGCTCCTAGTAGTACGGCCAGGAGCCCCTAGTAGCGTTCTTGCTCCTAGTGGCGATGCCCTGTGCTCCTAGTTCCATCTATGGACCTCTTTTTTTCCGTTTCCAACTTCATCGCCAGGGCTGGAAGGGCCATCCAGCAACCGGTCACGACCGGCTACAGCGTGCACCGCTGTTCGGGCAGAGCCGCACAGCGCAGAGCACAAAGCATCGACGGACGCGGAGCACATGTGCCGCACGGTGGCACATCGCCACGAAGTGTTTGGGCGTTGCTGCTGGAATTGGATTCTGGGCAGCATGTGGCACACTTTGACTTGAAGGTCTTTCTTATCCTAACTACAGTGAATCAAAGGGCTGGAATCAGAATGAGTATATGATATTCTGGATGCTGATAGCTGTTAGACTTATTTTGGCCTTGAAGATCGAGGCAGATGGCCGCTGCTGGGTCTTGTTGGGCTTCGGCTTGCTGCTGGCATCTGAGCAGACAAGGAAGTTGAGTGAGCGACTACTGTCACAATGTGTCCCTTCAAATCTCAAGACTAGTTTGGACATCCCAAGTTCTTTTGAAAGACAGCATAGTAAAAGGGAAAGGTGAAAGAAAAGAAAGACACAAGAGGCATATTCAGAAGCATTCTAGTTTCTAGCAAAGGGCCCGCCAAATCCGAGGTTGGAAGCAGCAAGACCGTGGGTTTTTTGGCTCCATTCGCCATGCGGAAAGCCGTGAATTTCCTGAGCCGCTGCGACACTTGGATAGCACAACACTCGAGACGTATTCTGCTGCATAGCGTCCTTGCTCCTAGTAGTACGGCCAGGAGCCCCTAGTAGCATCCTTGCTCCTATGCTGCCATGGGCCGAGGCTTCCGGGGCCAGGTGTAGAGTGCTCATGCAATTGGGATGCTTGTAATATAAAAATGTCCCCAAGGACCTACAGGGACTCACTTGGCTGCTGATTTTTGCTGCACTCAAAGGCATGGCATTGGGGATGGTGTGAGTGAAGTCACCGCCGGCCATCAGTCCACTCTTCCGTTGAGATGCGTGCCATGTTCTTGTTTTATCGGCTTGTCTATTGTAGCTCACGGAGCAAGGTACGCCTTAAGGGTTGTTTGGCGGTAGATCCAAAATGATCCAAGCAATTCTGAGCACCACTTCATCATTGCATGCCTCCCTGCATCAACTTTGTTCAGCGCGCCAGGCCTGAGTCAAGCGCTGAACAACAGCAAGACAGCCCCCCAAGCCTTCATCGCTCGCCCAATGGGTAGGCTGCAGCAAGATATTTTCAGCTGTGGGGGAGGTTGCGATGGGGCAGAAAAGCAATGATGCAGCAGATGCGTATAGAATGTAAGATAATGCAAATAGTATATATATGTACAAATTAAATGTTATAGCATATTTATATATTCGGGACTTGTTTATGAGGCCAGAACTCAGATTGAGCTTGGAAGTCTTGTCGAGATTCAGGGCCTTCAAGCAATGCACTAACTACTGAATAGGCACGAGCTGACCTACCCGACCCACACAAGCTCTCAAGCAATTCAGAAGTTCAGACGGTTTAGCTCATGCAGGTCAAAACAAATCCGAACAGCGTTGTTTGGAAGAGTTGTGTGGTTTTCATTGGGCAGGCGCTTGGCCCAACGGCTTTTAGCAAAGCTCTTGGCATTGGATTTGCAGCCTCTCGCAGAAAAATCATCCTTTGATTGAGTTCCTTGAGATGTTCCAATCACTGATCAATTGGAATTCGCAACCATGGAAAATACTTGCCTATTTGCACAGAATCAAAGCACTCGATTAGATGTTCGTTGCTCCTTGGTTTCTGGCCGAGTCATGGGGACGTTGCAGTTGGGTGTCTTTGTGAGACGACTCCGGGACGAGTCATGCCCGCGAGAGAGAGAGAGAGAGAAGGAGATGTCCGTTGGCAGTTGGGAATTACCGGGTTTACAGGTTTTGTTTTCATGGATTGTGTTCTCGTTCAGGGTTCAGGTACATCTCTGTATTTGCAACACTTATCAGCACTTGGTGATGCATTCCGAACAAGGTGGAAATTATCAAGTGATTCATCCATTCACTAAAAGTCATGAATTTGCCAAGAGTGTGGTGCAGATGAAGCGAGCAGAGGAAATCAGACCCTTGAGGTTCCATGCCTTGCGCCGGACGGGGGAAGTGCTGCGAAAGCTCGAGCGTCCGCCCCGGGCTGTGCCTTGGACACGTCGCCTCGGGCTCTCCCCTCTCGTGAGCTCTCCGAGCGGCTCTCCCTCATCCCTTCTTCAGATGTCCGTTTGCTGATCCATCTCTTCGTTTCCGCTACTAGGAGCAATGTTTGCTACTAGGGGCTCCTGGCCTTACTACTAGTAACAAGAAGCTACTAGGGGCTCCTGGCATCGCTACTAGGAGCAAGGACGCTACTAGGGGCTCCTGGCCTTACTACTAGGAGAAAGAATGCTTGTATGGCATTGTATGGCCTTGGACCTGGGGCAGCTTGGGGTATGCATTTGGTTCCTGCTTTAGGGAGCTCTCTCGACAGGGGTGTGGCCTCCACGAGTTATTGCAAGTCTTTCTTGTCATCATTAGCCGGGTGTGGTGTTTATTCTGTGGGCACAGACGTGACGGATAGTGGAAGATTTTTATATTTCCCGTGATCTTATCCAAACCAGCTGTGGGACAAGGTAGATACATTGCTGAGAGCTTTGTTATTCACATTAGTGCCCATTGCCTATGAGTCTCGGCTGCTTTTGAGCGCATTGAGTGTGTTGAGGGGAACTGGGTCAAGGGCCAAGTAAGCATGCCGTGCACAGCCACTTTCATTTTGAACAAGGGCTTCAGGCAAGGCACAATTTCAAACTGTTTTTGAGAAACCTAGGAACCAAATGAATAGAAGTGTGCCGTGTACTAGTTACTAGTAGTTTGTTTAGCCCTTACTTACTGTAATTAACTAGGCTCCTACTTAATTAAGTAAGGGCGGCTAACAAAATAAGGATCTTACTTGAAGCCGACCCGAAACGAAACCCAGAGTCAATTCTGTCAGCGATCTCAGGAATCCACTGTGGTCTTTTTCCTGCTCCTCTCCAAAGCAGGCCACCAACCAAAAGCGTGCAGCGCCAGCCAGTAGGCCAGCCTTCTAAAGCCTTTAAAAACGCGAATGACAGAGGCTGCAGAAATCGAGGGATTGTTCTGTAAGACACCTGGAGGCTGTCACTAGTAGGTTGGAGACCATCGCTCTGAGGTTGAAGTAAAGTATAGGAAAGTCTTTTCGTTTGTTCCCTATGACACCTGGACCTCCCCAAACCTCCCAGCATTTTGCAGTTGCCAGGCATAGATGTCGCGGTCACCGTGCTGTGCACTGCAGCGGGCTGAGTTTTGAGTTTTTATGTCAAGATTTGGCAGGGCTGTTTTCGAGCCTTGCCTATGCGCCACCTACATCTAGTCCACTCGAAATCGCCTGAAATTTGCAAGGTTGTGACTTACTTCCTCTTCACAAGCTGGATGAGTGTGGGCTGGGTGGCACGTGCGTCCCTAGAAACTGAAATTATGAATGAGCTGCATCATGTGAAACGTATTTGTGAAGTTTGGTTTCCTATTGTATCCACCATCAGTCTGTCAAACAGGCCTAGATCCGCCTAGCTTCCGACGCATTTGTGGACCGCTGATTGGACCCACTCCAGTCTTCAAAAGCCAGATCAAACTGAATCGATGACCTGGTTCCAAAAATACATGACACTGAAGCCAACTCAAATACAAGTCATCCGCCCCATATGAATATGCAAAACGTCGAAGTGTCAATGTCAGACATTACGGACAAAGCAACCGAAGCCCAGGCGAAAGAAGGAGAACCGCTTCGATGACGCCCAGGCCTCCGAAGCCAACGACGCACTGCTAAACTGTGGCCCGCAGCATTCAGCATTTGTTCTGCTTGAGGAAAAACAAACCATCTTGATTCTTCCAGATTGCCAGGTTTTTAGATTGCCAGGTGCATTAGAAGAGTTGCAAGTGGAAGAAAACTCTCGGCTTGGCTTGCTGAAGAGTGGAGTTTGGATTGATTGGTTGCATGAGCACCTCATGCCACACAGACAGGAACGTTGGCCCAATAAATAGATTGCCAAGCTGTGCTTTACTGTTTAGCTCTTTGTGCGACGGGCCTGGTGAGTCGGTAAGTGCGGTTCTATCACCAAGCGCCACGATGGTAGACTTGGTAGACTGTGCCTCAACACTCAGACAATGGTGAGTTTGAGCACTGAGCCTTCCACCAGAAGATATTACGTTGGAGGCAGTTGCTAGTGGGTTGGAGGCCATTGCTAGTAGGTTGGAGGCCGTTGCTAGCAGTTGGAGGCCATCATAATTTGATATAATTTGGTTGGCTGAGATCAGTTGAGGTGAATCAGTTCGTCTTATGACTGCAGCGCCCCGGGTTCTGCGCCGTTTCGACCGCTTTTGGTGGCAGCTGCAGCAGGGGCAGACTCTTGTCCCTCTTGGCCACTGAAGCAACATGCGAAGCAGCATTTGACTACATTCAATGTAATTCGTGACATTCAACTACATGAACATATTTGAATAGTTGTGTGAATATTATATTTGATGTAGTTATTCATGACTCGAGGGAAGTCTTGCAAGCTTGTGACAAGTCTTGCTGGACGTGTGAACAGCTTCACATATTCACCAATGTTGTTTGAGGATTTCCTCGGACCTGGCAGCGACGGTGCTTGCCGGTGGCCAGCAGGTCCGAGTCGCAGCTCCACCGGGGAACCGGGTTGAACTCTGAGAACGCTAGAAAATCATCACCATGACCTACAAATAGTCATTACATAATATCGTAAATTGTATGCAATAGTCATCACATGTAGTCACATAGTATAGTCATAAAGTCACTTCTAAGACTCAACGGCAAAAGTTGCCCAGGCCATCACTGCGCTGGGAATGGGTGTGGCTTTGCTCCTGGTGGCACGCCGGGTGGTCACAGGCTCCGCCTCAGTGGGCGATGTACCCATGGTGCAAGGCGAGAAGCGAAAGAAGCAAAAGAAGCGAAAGAAGGGAACCGAAAACTAGAAGCAATGGCCTCCAATCTAAGAGCAATGGCCTCGAAGGGAACCGGAAACTGGTACATAGTGCATATTAGTGCATACGGTTACCAGTCATGTAAATTCAGTGTGTGTTGGGTTCTTTAGGTCTCCCCTTTCTAGAATGTAGACCGCGCGTCCACTTGCATAGAACTAGACAGAACATAGGTGCTCATGGCGCCTAATGGCATCCGTGGAATTAACCAAGATCACGGGCTTCTCTGCTTCGGTTACTTTATGTGCTCAGCAAATGTTGTGCATGTTTTTGGACATGGAATTGGCCAACTGAAACAACAACGCTTAGACTAGTACTGTTAGTACTGGTTGGCCCGAAAGTATCCGTCAGTTGTCAGTGCCAAGCCATGTGGCCATAAAGAGTTTTGTTTCATCGACGTTTTTGTTAAGACAGGCTGCCTGGTGCAGAAGATTGCAGAAGTGTTTGAGTGTTTTCAGGGAATCCCTCCAAAGGAGCATCCGCAAACACGTTTCTCTTCGAAACGGACATCGCGAAAAGGCTTGATCTCCCAGCTTTGGGCGCCTTTGCAATTCCTCGGGTTCTACATCCGGTGCCTCGGTTTTTGGCAGATAAGCAATCGTTTGGTTTTCGATCCAGAGGTTGCTTCATGGACTAAAATGTGACGAGCCTCATGATAGCCTCATGGAGCCTCTGCAGACGAAGCTTTGGCTTGTTGAGTGGTAGTTGTAGAACACAGTACCACATCCGCTCAACACAGGCAAGCACGGCAAGCTTTGGTTGACTTGGAAGAGGCTCGGGCTCTTCTTTCCTCAAAGAGGTCTCCTTTGGAGCTCGCAGAAGCAGCTGAGAGGCCAGGACCTAAGGGGGTGTCTATTTGGATTGATCATGTTCGAAGGATACAACCCCACTCTGAGGTTCTTTTTCTCACGCTTCCTAGTGCTATATATATATATATAACTGTATAGGATTTTCTATCAAGCAACTTCAAGCAACACACGGGTTTTCTATCCAATCGCATGTGACTCCCTTGGACCAGGGAACTCAGATGAACTCAGTAATGGTTGGGGTTGACCCTGCCCGAGCATTACTTGGCTCGCTGGGAGTGGTGGGGTTTTGTGTCACCATGCCTGGATAGAAAACTGCGTCAGGCCAACACAATCAGAGGAGCTGGTTGCATTGCACAACCTGCCGCCGTGCACGGAGGGATGTCCTTTGGTCGAGTTTCGAGATGTGTGGCTTGGCTGAGTGCTGGTCGATTTGTCGATTCGTAGTGCTAGACTCCAACATCATGAGTCTCGATATGTCTCGATTCGACATTTGGATTCAACATGATTTGGATTCTTGATGTAGTCGCTCACCAGGCTGAACCATTGAGCAAGTGCCAGCATGTCTAGCAGTCTAGCTAGCATAAGCCTGAGAGTGCGTGCAACTTTCATTTGACGCCAGTTGCCTATGTTGGCTGGTCTTGCTGAGTTTGTGCAGTGAGGTGGTTTCGATACGAACGTGGATTGCCATGGGTGCTACAGGGCCTGTCCTTCTGCATTCAGCCAGGACTGTACCTGTTCAGAGATGCTGGCTGGAACGCTTCATTCGAAGTGCACCCAAGGTGCGGGCAGTATGTGCAGGTGCACTTGTTCCCCTGTGTCCATGCCAGCTGTTGGAGTTGACTGCGTTATCCCACCCACTGGAGCTTCCTGGCCTAGGAGACAGCTAGTCCATGCTAGTCCTTGTCTCGCATCAATTCATCTCCTGTGCCTCTTTTGATGTCTCCTCGTTTCGCCTTGTTTCTGTCAGTGTCAGGACTTTAGAGATAGAAAGCCCCGCAGCTCCCTTCGAAGGAGAGTTCTTCGTGATTGTTGGCCCTTCGGGAAGCGGGAAGAGCTCCTTGGGACGCTTGGTGCCAAGACTTTTTGATGCCTGTGAAGGCCTGGGAAGCGTGATGACAGGTTTGACTAGGTTCAGGCCTCAGGCATTGGAAGAAGCAACATGAGGCAAATGAATTACTCCCTCCCTCTCTCTCTCCCGTAATGATTTGTAAAGCAGTGTGAAACACGTGTAAATTAAGGGAAGGCTACACTTTCAACCTCTTTGAGCTTTTCTGACATTCAAGTTCGACAGATTCTGAACAAAAGCACAGTGTTCCTCTTGTTCGAAGGCAGTGTCCTCTTCAATGGCGTGGACGTGCGCCATGTGACCTTGGGTGACCTGCGAGAACGCTTGGCCGTGGTGCCACAGGACTGATGTCCGATTCCGAGAATACCCTGGCTGTGCTAGGATCCTAGTAAAACGGCCACGAGCTACTAGTAGCGTCCTTGCTCCTAGTAGTACGGACAGGAGCCCCGTTCGTAGCGTCCTTGCTCCTTGTAGCGATGCCCTTTGTTCCTAGTAGCGTCCTTGTTTTGATCGAAAGTTCCTTCTTTGTGAGGATGTGGTGGTGTTCAATGCGAGCCTGCGACAGAATCTGTCGATGGCCCGGCCGAAGGCCACCACGGAAGAAATGACCGAGGCTGGGCGAGGGGCTGGTAGTCCGGGAGGGGGCGACCGGGTGTTTATTGAATTTCTCATGCGCTTACAGGGTGTGCGTGTGTGCATGTGTGTGTGTCAAGGGAGTCAGATGGAGTGCCTGCACTGATCTAGCTGGAATGCTTTCTGAGTGACTCACGTGCTCACTTTCCGCAGGCCATTCGCGCAAGCGGACTGGAGAAAGCGCTTCTATCCGGCAGCAGCGGTCTGACCATGCAATCAGTGACTTGGTCCAACAGTCTCGAAAGCACATAATGGTTTGAGATTCTTTCAAGTTCAGTTTGCAGATTCTGACCTTAGCTTTGAAAAACCAGCTTGCTTACACTGTAATAATATGCCGCAATCTTGCTGCACATCTCTCAAGGTCGTTGGCGAGCGTGGGCTCCGTTTGTCGGGTGGTGAGCGGCAACGACTCTCCTTTGCAAGGGCATTGCTGAGAGCACCAGACACGGTGGGGAACATGACATTGGGAGCGCTCATGATGCGAGGAATAAACTAGACGTTCCCTCAGCTCTTACCTTTTGGTGATGTGCCTCTTCAGCCTAGAGAGACGAGTTTTCAGCATGCGGCGGCGGGTCAGGATAATTTTGAACTTGCTTGTGGACCATGCCTGTGGGTCGGCCGGTTTGTGCTCCACAAGTATGACTTTAACTGACAAAGAATTATTTCACACCTGGAGCGATTTCGAGAGAAGCGATGGATAGATCTCTAGCTTCTTGGGCGAATCTGTTGTTGCAGGAGCTGCTGATTCTAGATGAAGCAACCAGCGCTTTGGATGCTGAGACTGGACAATTCCTGCTGCAAAGTTTGCAAGAGTTGCGCCAAGGTGGTGGCAGGACCTTGATGCACATTTAGATGTCAACTCTGGGCTCAGTGATGCTCAGTCCGTAGGTGTGCTTTTCATTGTGCGATAATTCAAGGGTTCTCAAACCGCTAATTATTTAGCTCGATTGCTTGTGCTGATTGGGTTTCTTCACCTGTCTAAGTTCATTGTGCAGGACTCCAGCCATTCTGGCCATCACACACCAGCTACAGATGGCCAAAGAAGCTGATCAAGTGCTGGTGTTACAGGAAGGAAAGGTTAAGGAGACCTGAACATACACCAGTGAGGTCACCAGTGTGGCCTATGGCGTGTGAGCAGAACCAAGGAATTGAGTTTACGGAATCTAGAAAACGCTTTATCAAGATTCACCGATTCACCACTGATTCACGATGACCTTGAGATGGAAAACATACACTCCGCTACGGCAGTGGAGGATAGAGAGATACTCTTTGCAGAGGGTTCAAGGGTTCGATTGGATAGGTTGTTTGCAGATGGCAAGCTGAACAAAGCAACAGAAATGGGATGATGCAGCTTCACACATGCTTGAGTGGAAGAGATTGATTTTACTCCTTCCGTGCACAGGAGCGCGGCAGTCATGAGGAGCTTTTGCAGAGACTTGGTTCTATTGCAGTCTTTTGAGTCTCTTGTTGACAGGATGATGTTTGCCCAAGTCTACATCCTGATATTACGAAGTGCCGATAGTGCACATATTAATATATGATATATGATAATATATGCATATTAGAGAGGGAGAGAGATGAATGTATGTTGCGCCGTATGTATAGAGAGATACCAGGCTGGTCGTATATATAGACCACGGACCCCTGGAACATGCCCACATAGTGTGAAGGAAAGGAGGAGCGTATTGTGATCTTCTGAAAGCAGCCGGTGAGAAGGCGAAACTGGACGAATGACGCTGTGTGACCCGTGCGAAAAGTGTGACCTGTGCTGCACTCTGTGTTGCCCCGTGTTTGGACTTGGAGAGGAAGCTTGAGAGGCGCACACAGAGGTACTGGATCAATTTCATCATTTGTTTGATGTTCGTTGTTCTATGTTGTTCTTGAATTTTGAGAAGTGCCAGTCTGCCAGTGATCAGATCCCGCTGGTAACCGCTGATGTCTTTTTTGTTTCAGGTGAATTGCGAGTAGGCTCAAGATGGCTTGTTGGTATGCTTTATCAACTCGAAGGCCACCACTATTAGGTTGGAGGCCATCGCTGGTAGGTTTGCACTGAGGTTGAGCGCACAGGCTTCACCCAGGCGGAGGGTTCGGGCCGTTGTGCGCGGTGCTGATGTGGGAGGAGGGGCTGAGGAGGGGCTTCGCAGCTCAAACCTCTTATTCTTCAATATTGAAGTTCTGAAGTGTCTGAAGTGCAGCCACCGAGTGGTTGTTTTGTCATGTTTTGTCCGCCAGGTGAGAGAATCCATGCAGTCCATGCTCACACGACTACAGAGTTTGAGCTCGAGCCTTCAGGCGCACAGGGCGCAGCGGCGCACTTCGAAGCCGCAGTGGAACCAGTTAACATTGTTACTAGTAGCGATGCCCTTGTTACTACTAGCTTCTTTCTCCTAGTAGTAGGGCCAGGAGCCCCTGTAGTGTCCTTGCTCCTAGTAGCGATGCCCTTGTTACTAGTAATACTAGTAGCTTCTTGCTACTAGTAGTTCTCAGGTTCGAGCCTTCCAACATCTTCCAACACTTTACAACACCTCAAACACCTTAATGTGATGCGTCAACCAACTTGTTGGGCACCCACTGGGCTCCGGAAAGCCAGCAAACATTATCAAAACTGCTGATGCCTCCGAAGGGGAGTATATAATATAAAGCATCGGCGCTTATGCACCTCGGCGTGCACAAGACACATAAGCATCTTGGTCCTTTCGTCCTAGGATACTTATAGAACTTAACTTTTGTGTTATATGGTCACCTAGGTAAAGCTTTACAGAAACATCATGGACATCAGAAGGACCATGCTTTGGCAAATTGTGACGTGAGAGGGAGGACACTGTACGCAGGCCAGGCAGATGCCCGAGCTGAGCCAAGAGAGCCTCAGTTGAGCTTAGGGGTCAATCAATCGTATTTTGTTTGTTTTTACATTGTTTTTCTAATCTTTCTTTCTGTTCTGTGCGTTTCTTGTTTCATTCTTTTTGATGCTGATTCCATTGGGTCATTGAGCTGACTTGCAGATAGGAAGATGAGTTGCTGAGGCTGTTGGGATTGCAGAGTGACTTGGCACAGGCCCCTTAAGCTTTGCAGAAGTCCAGCGCGATCTAAAATGGTTGAGGTTGCTCCTTTTCAACTTTCAACAGGAGGCAAGACCGAGACCCTCCCACCTCTCCATTGATTCATTTAATCGTTTACGGTTGGATACGCCGCGATTTTGCAGGTCGCTCCATTGGCTGAAGCCACGACCAGGCCTTGGTGACCTTTAGATTCGGGTAACCCTTCGGCGAACGCCTTCGATCAGCTCCATGCAAGTGGATCACGCAAAGGGTAACAAGCACCAAGATGACTTATTGCACTGCGGGTTTTGACGGGACATGACAGGGCCATGACAGGACCATGTGGCCATGTGTTGTGGAGAAGCAGGATGAAGCTTCTCCCCTGGGCGCAGGAGAGATGACATATAGTAGTAACAAGAAGCTAGTAGTAACAAGTGCCTTACTAGTAGTAACAAGAAGCTTGGCCCATTCGGGTCATTTGGCCATCCCTTGGCCCTTGCTGTTCTCGTGCCGAGCTTGCTTCAGGGGCGAGATGGTGGGGGAACTCCAGCGAATCTACAAGGACTGCTTGGTGGAGGCGGGCAAAGGAAAGATCAAGAACACAATAACTGTACTCGTGATGGAAGACAGGGGAGCCACGCATACCAAAATTGCAGGGGTTACTAGCTACATCTAACTACTGTGATCTACAGTAAGCAAATGCTGGCACATGCTGGCGTAAGCTTGCAGTTGGTTATATAATGGGCAATGTAAGTTGATGCATCAACCGACGAAGCTGTGGCTTCCCTGAGGCGACACGAGAAGCTTCCAGCTTTGTGGGCCTGCAGAACGCTTCAGTCCCAGTGGTGCTCGGTCGGACGGTCCTACGTTCCCTGTCAATTGGCACATGCTTCCTTTCTTTCCTGTGCTCTCACGTGGAGAGGTAACATGCCAGGGTGGCCTCCACCCTACTGGCGATAGCCTCTAACCCACTAGCAATGGCCTCCAACCTAAGAGCGATGGCCAAGCAACGTAGACACAGACATTTGTCAGATAGCCGGAAAGGAACAACTGCTCGAGACGCCCGGACGTGGACACATTGCACGAGCAATTTTGTGCAGAACATCATCCAAAGTTCTTTGGCTTCAATGTTGCACGTTGCAGCTCTGCATTTTGTCGGACTTGACCCATGCCCCGGTGTTTCGTGTCCGTGGCGTTGCGACAGCAGAACTTCGCAGTCATTGATGCCGCATCGGGTGTTTCTTGGATGTTGCGAATCGCAATGGTGTCAGTGTCAGGTGGGCGATTCGGTGGCTGGATGCTCAGGAAGGCCTTTTGACATCAGACCCAGTCGCACAAAGACCTCAAAACTCTTGTCGCAGCTCCGGATGCCCAGGGGCGACAAGAGGGAACATATAATAGCGATGGCCTCCAATTTCAGAGTAGAGCGAAAACGCAAAATATAGGAACAAGGACGCTACGTTCGGAGCAAGAAGGCTACGAACGGGGCTCCTGGCATTGCTACTAGGAGCAAGAAGCTATTAGCTTATTGTTTCTACTAGCGAACATTGTTACTACTAGTAAGGCACTTGTTACTACTAGCGGTGGTCCATAGGATTTGGTGCCCGCCCGAGGCCACCCGAGTCAACCGCTACTCAGCACCACGGCTGCCATGCTCTTAGTGGGCACGGCATGGGACAACCAGGTCACTTCTTGGGACAACCTCCAGCTTTCTGAGTTTGGGATCTTGAAAGATTTTCTGAGTTTGCTTCTTTATAAAATTTTTTGGTTTTCTAATCACTCTGTAGTAACATGTAGTAATGTTTGAAGACCCTTGGGTGGCGCCCTCCTTTGAAGTATCGGGATCATCGACCACATCGCACTTGGCAGAGGAATTTCTTTTCAGAGCTCAGTATCTTGAGGCGACTCCTGCTGGAACGCTTGCTCCATCGCGCGGGTATCCGCCTGGACGTGGCGCGAGAAGATCCCACCGTGAGCAGGTTTGGTGTTTGAGTGGGAGGAGTCAGAGCCATCGGATCAATGTGCAAAGAGCCAGACATAGAAGAAATGCACCAGAGGAAGCACTTTAGCCAGCCGTAGAAGAGGGAGGTGGTCGCTAGAGGTAGCTGGTAGAGGCTAGGGAGTCGCTAGTAGCTCACACGTAGCTACTACCGACAGGACGCAGGATAGCTAACGCACTATTCATTTGGTTCCTAGATTTTTAGGGAAACTTAACTAATAGAAATGCGCCGCCTGCACAGAGACAGAGAGGGCTACATATTGACTGGTGCTTCAGTCAGCGAAGTACACGAAACACGATGCTGCCAGGTTGGTGGAATTGTTTATCCGTGCCTGCAGCAACAGCCGCTTGTCGGCCTTGCCCTGATCAAGTCAGTCTTGGGTTTGAGGCACTGCCGCTGATGGCAATGCCGAAGTGTTTTACTGTAATTGGGGTGATAGGGGTGTAGTTTTGAAGTTCAGTAGGCTCAGCAACCAATCATGGCTGCTGTTCAAGCACTACTCGTCCAAACAGCAGTCTTGCTCACGACAATGTTTAGAGGCTGGTTCCAACTTGTGGGTGGCGAATGTTCAAATCATTGCAGGCAGATCCGAAGTGTAGAGACAAGATGCAAGTTAGGTTGGAGGCCCTTGCTGCAAGGTTGGAGCCCATCGCTACCAGGGTGGAGGCCATCGCTAGTAGGTTGGAGACAAGATGCAAGTTAGAAGCATGCGCGCAGAAGGTCGCGTAGAGCTTTCGGTAGGAGGAGACCCCTCAGAAATCAAGGACTCTTCAGTATATCCGCTTTTGCAGCTTTTAGTGTCTCAGACTATTGAAAACTCCCCCATCAATTCATGCCAACTTTAAGATTTGATCTCCTCCACAGGCCCTCCACATTCCAACTCCAATCAGTCCAAGAGCCTTAATTAAGTCGCAAGTCGCATGAAGTAACAAGGGATAACAAGGGTATCGCTACTAGGAGCAAGGACGCCACTAGATGCTACCAGTAGCTCCTGGCCTTACTATACATCCCTACCCCCTTAGGTCCACTTCTGGGGGGGGGGACCTAGAAACATGTAACTTACAATTTCCGGGGGACCCCATAAATGTATGTTGACCCCGCCCTCGTTTTGGGCCCTACTTATTCAAGTAGAGGCCATATTCATGGTCCCCCCCCCCCTCCCAGATTTTTGTTGCTGTGTCTGGGTATGTCCCTGCGTGCGTGTTCCTGGGAATTCTCCAGGAAATGAGGTGGTGGCTGGTGTGTGTCAGTTAGAAATTTTAGGGGGGGCTGGAGAAAATGCAACTTACCACGTCCCACGTCCCACGTCCTAACAAACCCAAAAAATGTAAGCTACGTTTGTTTAGGATATGAAAAACAAATGTAGCTAACATTTTTTTAGGACTTACAGGAAAAATGTAAGCTTACATTTTTTAGGTTCA